CATCCAAACACTTGGATCTGGGAACTTGTTGGTATTCCGTAACTGCGAACACATCACCATCCCATCATGCTGAGACTGCAGGGTGAACAGTTCAGGTCCAGCACTCCTGATGCAGGACATTGTGTTGTTTGAAGGAAGTGGAGGCACCTCTGTGCTTTGAGGCTTTTCGTGAACAGCCTTCAGTCTTCTTATCACAACCGCGACTGGCAGAACGACAGTGGTGGCAATCAAAATGGGGCTGCCATTCTTTCGAAACACAATGTGCACTTCCTGCGTTGAGGCGGCTCCCGTCGGTCACAGCACCTACCGCAAACTGAGAGCTACAAGCACGCCCTATTATTTCAATAAACCTTTAAATCAATCAGCACGCCAATGAATGAAAGAAACAGAGGCACAGAAAAAAAAGTTTGAGGGGAAAAAGTGGATTTTTGAAGGATGAAAGGAAGTGCCTCTCCCTGGTTAATGGGGCCTTTCGGGGCCTCTGTGCCATTGTTGGCCCTGCTGGTCGGTCTCCTTCAGAGGCTGAAACCAGCTTATATCACAGGATCTTTCCCACCACAGTCCAACTGGAGCCACACTGAACCACATCCTACATCCACTACTTGTTCTACAGTCCCTGTTTCTCCTTTAGGGTGTGTTGGATTTAAAGTCCAGATGAATTGAAAAATGCATTTTTAAGAATGAAGAAAGAAATCTTTAAGATCACATCCTGTCTTACTGTTTCCCATATTTAACAATGTCTGAAAGAAATCATTGTTTCTTTGAATTGTTATATTCCTGTAAAACAAACCCACCTGTCAATCAATCTTTTAGACCTTTAGGACCTTTAGGGACACAGAGCCAAGATTCTTTTTATCGCTTGTAACTAAAACACAACTTTATCAATGATTTGGGTGAAACTGGATCATATTTTATGGAGAGAATATTGTCTGGTTTTCCCTCTGACGTCGTCCGGCTGCTCTGCCTCAACTCTGCTAACAGCTAATCTAGCTGCAGTAAGCGTTAGCAACCGAACGGGGCTCAGCAGCCTCCCAGTGAACACAACCTCTGAGACAGACAGAGGGCAGTTTGACGACAGCACTACCGAGGTGATTTATGGAGTTTACTGATTGACTTCCACGAATGGCAATGTTGGACCCACCTCAGTACTTTATTCCCTGTCGTCAAAGCGTCCTCTGTTGGCATTGGATGCTTAATTTAATGATTTCAAGTCCTGTAAAGTAAAGGCAAAAAACTTGAGTTGCTTCCCACATTTACCTCACTGCAATGAGTGAAGAGAAAACAAATCAAAAATAAATCCTTTCAATGGCAAAAACATCCGTCTGAATGAAGCTTGTGTCTCCACAGACAGATTTACTGGACTGAGTGGAAGAGAAAACTATAAACAACAATCTTATAGATTGTCCAAAATCTCTGCCCTATAAACAGACTTCCTCTCGAGTCAGTTTGGGAGGAAGGAGTGTATATTGCCTTCCAGCCAAAAGACGGATATGAAGATTTAACCTCTGCAGCCTCGTAACCTCCACAGTTCAGAATCATTTCCTAGCCCCCACAGCTTCCCCACAGAGCAGTCAGACGCTTACTCAATACAATAAATGCTTTTCAATCCAACTTCACATTTTAATTTGTTCATAAAGAATAAAAGTTAACAAAAGATTTGATGAAAACGGTAACCTTCCTCACATTAATACAACAAACAGAAATGTCTGATTTCCATTGTTTGAGCTGACCGGAGCTCTTTTAATGATTTTGTCATTGATTAAAATATATCTAGTCTGCTGACGTTGCTTCTCCTCCACTTTCCTGCTCAACTAATGAGGATACGTAACATCACACTGCTGTAAAGTAAAATTGCAGTAGTTTTATGATTATTATATTATTATTATGATTGGCTCTAGATAGGGCCGTGAGAGAAAGTGAAGCGAGTTAGTTTTAATCTGCAACTACACAGCTAGATGCTGGACCTTTAAAGGCAGTCGAAACTAAGCTTTATGCAGCCGAACCCGTGGTGGCGTAATCAATATGCAAATTAGTATATAACATCATCTGGAGACTCTTAGCGATGGTAAGAGATATTTACTTTAGGAACAGGGTTCTGAAGTGATACTAAAACTTCCCCTCTCACAGCTTTAATTTCATTATTATTTCAGTCCGAGCTCAGAAGGTTTCCATCAGATTCCAGTTTTAGCAGCGACTCTGGAAACAGGAAGGTTTGGATGTGAGTCTGTAACGAGCTGATCTGACTGACAGCGCCATCGACACCCAGCCTCGTTACCGATCCACCGACCTGTCAGCGGCTGCTGCAGTCTGTCAGCTGACAGGTAATTAAAGCTCACCTCTGCAGATACCAGGACACTCTCCGCTCGCTCTGCAACTAATGAGCTCACTCTTATTGTGTGTTTGCAGTAGAAACCATTATAACTCCTCCGGTTTCATCATCATTAAAACTGGAACAGTGTGCAGTGGGTGTTACAGTGGACGGCAGTAAACACTCAGTGCCTCCATGATGGCTTTCAAAAGAGGAAGTTAATGAGAACAACCTTTGACCACACAGGATGGTCCCCTACAGAGACTTCTGTTGATACTACCTGATAACATGTTGGCAGCCATCTTTAATTAGAGGCTCCTAATGAAGTCCCACTGTACACCTTGCTGGAAACATTTATATAACCAACACCAGATCTGTCCAAAACCAGAGGTGTGGAACCAGGTTCCCTTCCGCCCGAGGCCGACTCTGCTGACCTTGAAGTTTGTCTGAAGGCAGAACAATCACACGCCTGCAGGGGAATTATTTCACAGTTTGGGTAAAGGGTGTGTAGGAGCAGAAAACAGCTTCCTGTTCTCTGTCTGATCCCTTTTAATCGTGCCGATTCCCTGTCTCTTTGCGTGCCAGGCCCTTTCTGGCTCAGAGTCTGGGGTGTGTTAAGGGAGGGAGGAGGGGTGACACTGCCACTGTGTTGCACCTCTGGTCGCTCAGCTGGTCACTGTGTTACAGGAAGGGAAGGGAGGGTCGGGATTTCCCCTCTGAACCCTCCTCACACAGCCTGAGGCGACACAAAGCAGATAACACAAAGAATAAGTCATTCAATCTGCCACCGAATACACCTCCAATGGTTCAGTTCTACATTATTTACCTCTGTTAAATATTTCTGGAAGAGTTCTTGGAAATGTTTCTGAGCCCAGTGATTTTTAGCTCTAGAGAAGGCACTTTGGTCCAGATTGAAATATTTTAACCATGAGATGATTATACTGACTTTTCCTGCAGGTTGACACTCTTTACTTTTTGTTTCTCAAACTTTCAAAGTCAAAATATCCGGCTCTCCAAGAAGCACTAAGTGACCACTGACCAATCCAGCAGCGCTGGCCCACCCTGTTTAGAGAGTTCACGCAGGAGGCATGTTTGTTCCCAATAAAAGGGTTATTTACTAAAGCTAATCTGGTGAAAAATGGATCTTCCTGGTCCACAATTCATTTCCTAATAGTTCCTGTTTGGAGCCACGCTTGCAGTGTTTTTGAACCGTTCATGTGACCTCTGCCCACTATCTTACCATCACATTTTAGCTCCGTACTAACTTTGAATGTATGCAGGAAATATCAGTGGTTACCAAACAATTACTTTATTCATTATAGCGCCATCATCAGGTCAACTAATGATATTCCCATCAGCCGCAGCTGTACTTTCGAGTTATGTCAGCAATGCTGACTCGCAGTACGTCACCTCCACTGGCTTCGACAAACTGTCATGGCAATGACCATAACACCAAACTGGAGAACCAAACCAAAACGGTTCTCCACAAACAGATGGGTGGGTACTCAATTAAAGTACAAGTACCTCGAATTTGTACAGCATTTGAGTAAATGTACTCGTGTGTTCCACCAGTAGAAGTCACCAGCAGCTGGATTCATTGTATTTAATCAGATGATCTGTTCGTCCACTTAACTGCTACTATTTTCACCTTCGCAGCTCCCTCACTCTCAGAGGGGAACTGTAGCTCCTCGAAGTGTCTGCAAGAACCAGACTGAGGTGATGCAACGATGCATCCTCCCTCCCTCTCTCTCTCTCTCCACTCTCTGTTTATGTCTCTCGCCCTACCACCACCAACCCCCCTCCCCCACATTCCCAGGATGCTGCACTCCAGTGGAGATAAAGTTAGCACTGCAGAAGTGACAACGCGTTGTAACCGTTACCCGTTACCACAACCTCCTTCTCCAAATGACGCAACCCCCCCACCCTTCAGTTTATTATCTGGTCGTGTGTCTGTGGGATGCTAGGCAACATAAACACAACTAAATATAACTGCTATAACTTTCCAGTCTGTCAAGCAGCTCTGACTACAAAATCCTCAGTGAGTAAATTGAAAAGAAGTCCATCAGTCTCAGGTTGGCACTTGAATGTTGACTTTAATAGAACAAATACGTTTATTGACACGGAATAAATAAGACTGAACACCAGTTCAAGGTAATATAAAGTAAGACAGCGTCAGATTGACCCTCAGTTAAACAGTTACATGTGAACTCTTTAATACAGTGGAATACATGACATTTGGTTATTTTTCATCACTTTGGATCTTAGTGCACTAGTTTAAACATACAAAGGTTCATGCAGATCAGAGATGAACCCCATCTGAGAGCTCAGGATTCATAACATTACTCCATGATTCAGTCACACAGACTGGATATTCAAAGGTGTTATCATGATGTCTTCTGTCTGCCTAGAACGATATTTAATATAAAACGTTTCTGCATTAAAATGTATAAAAACTTATTAAGCACATTATACTTACATTGTGTTCTTACATTATGCCAAATGTTTCCAACAATGTTTAAACTTAAAATCTTTCATTTTATTCAGGTAACGCTGCGTTTCACCAGTCGTCTGTCGATGGCATCATATCCCCTT